CGTTGTAACTTTTTTTGACAATAAAACTAACGAAGGACTAAGCAGCCGCCACCATGGGAAAGCGTAAGTCTTTTTATTCTGTATTTTTTTTTTTTAATTTGAAATTATTTCGATAACTTTTAGGTGAAATTAGGGTTTCTTTTCGATCGATGTTTTCTAATTACATGATTAAATCTTGTTTATAATTAATTAATTGATTTTCTCAAAACTGGAGAAATGTTTTTGGGTTTTTTTGAGGTGAATTATGTTAATTGTGATAATTTTGCAGGTAATTCACAACGTAAAAATGCAGCGATGTTAGATAGCGACGATGATAATAGTAGTGTGAGTTCGACGTCAACGATGAGGTCTGATCTTATGTCGGTGTCCGGCACTGAAGAAGTTCAGCTTGAGAAGGATAGTTTGTTGGATGAAGCTTTGGATGCTTTATACGAAAAAAGGTATGTTGAATCAATTCACTCTTTTGGTTTTTGTATGTTGTTCTTGCGAGCAATTTCTTCCCTAAATCAAAATAATTATCATGGTTTTAGTTAGCCTATGATTACAGTTATTGCATCTTTTGATTTGTAAGTGGTTGAAGAGTGATCTTGTATTTTGCCGAATTTAAAGTTGTTTCGTCGTTTTTATTTTTTATGGATGAAGGGGCTCCACAAGAGAGAAAGCTTTGGCCTCCATTATTGAGGCTTTCAATAGCAACTTGCAGCATCAGTTTGTTGAAAAGAAGTAAGTAGTCAGTGCCATTTATTAGAAGTAGAAAAACTCAAATTTCTTATAAACCTTGTTTATTAAAAAGTGAGTAATGTGGTTTAAGCATTTAATACGTCTCTATTTCTTTTCCGAGTGTATTAGTTTAATAAATTATGATTTATCAGACAATTTATGTTGATATAGACATTCGTTTCCGTTCTCATATTTTGTTGTGGTTTGTTTAGATTTGCTACCTTACTGCATCAGTGCCTGGGTTCCATGAAACGGGGCTCTAGCAGGGAGATAGCTTTGGCATCTCATGCCATTGGTTAGCCTTTGATCCCTCTTGTTGACCTTTTTTCCCATGTTTTCCCTGTATTAATTCAATGTTTGATGGAATGATTGTTTATTTTGCAGGCTTGTTAGCTTTAACTGTTGGCTTTGGGGACAATGCTCGGGAAATATTGGACGAATCAGTCACTCCTATTTCACAGGCTCTAAAGGCAGGGTCTGAATCCTCGAAGACAGCAGCGGTATGTGTGATATTTAACATTTCAGTAGGTTTGGAATTCAGTTGCTTGCCAACTTTTAGTTGTCATTACTTTCACGTGTTTTATTCATGATGATTATCAGCAGCACTTCTTATGCATAATGTGGTCTGTGATTGTAGCTGCTGGAGTGTTTGGCTATCATAACGTTTGTTGGTGGAAATGATCCAGAGGAAACAGAAAGATCAATGGAAATTATGTGGCAACTTGTTCATCCAAAGCTGGGTTCTAATGTACTTATCTGTGCTTGCTGTGTGTAGTTTGATGGCATAATTTACATATGAATTTCTAATGTCAGTCATGTATTAGAGATCTCCTTTAACTATTGTTGTTTTGAGCTAGTATATTTAAAATTATGATTTATTATTTTGTTAATTTCATGTACTTATTAACTCTGCTATTCCATTCATAGGTTGTTGCAGTCAAACCTTCGGCAACTGTTATAACAGCAATGGTGTCTGCTTGGTCATTTCTTCTTGCAACATTGGATGGCTGGAGACTTGATCCTAAACACTGGCAGCAGTGAGTAAACCCTTGTTCTAAGTTATTCTTCTCTCTCATTGGTGTATAAGTGTCACAAAAATGGGTAGATTGACTTTTCAGGATGTGGAACATGAATGAATGCATAGAAACCATAGCCTCAAAAGTTGAATCTTTGTGGCTGAAAGTTTGTTTTAAAAAAAAAAAAGTTTTCTTATGGTTTTTTTGTAAATCATGCAGGTTCATTTCATATTTTTCTAGCCTGCTTGACAAAAATGACCGATCTGTCCGCATTGCTGCTGGTGAAGCACTGGCATTAATTTTTGAGATTGGGAGTCTGGAGAAGTTCTCTGCTGAAGCTAATGGCTCTAGTGATGGTTCTGGGGAAGGATATACTCCTTTACAAGGATTGAAAGGAAAAATCCTCAATCAGGTCAGAAACCTTTCTATGGAAGCAGGCGGTAAAGGTTCTGCAAAGAAAGATCTTAACAACCAGCGGAACTTGTTCAAGGATATTTTAGAGTTTCTTATGGTACACCTTTTTTCCTTCCCATATTGATTCCTTTTCAATTATTTAACTAGTATGGACTATGTAAGTGCGATTTTTGCTGGGCTTCCTTCGTGATCTTACTTTCATAATTTTAGGATGGATATTGTCCTGAAACCTCAACGAAGATTGGTGGTGAATCACTTAAGACATCAACCTGGTCTCAACTGATACAGGTTTTTCTTCTTTCTTTTCCCTTTGTCGGTACCTTTATTTTTTAAGTGATCTTGTCATGGATGCTAGCAAATTTTGCAGTCTCTCTGATTTCAGTTTTTTAACAGTTAAACTTTTTAAAGCACTTTCTTGGGGGTGGCTTTGTTAAGCACATGCAGGTTGGTTTTCTTAACCAAGTATTGGCTTATTCAATTTCTGTGTGTTGTTGATGTCTCTGATTCTTTTGGCTATAGTAGATTTTTGATAAAAAAATATATTGAACAAACAGGAAAATGAATTTCTTCATGAAGTCCTTGGATTCACTCCTAAGCAGAAGTATCTTCCGAGCACTGAGCACCATATATCTAGTAGTGAAAAGGTGTGTTTATTCTTCTTTTCTCATTTGTTTTGTTGTCCTTTACTTGTTTCTGTGTGAATTATGTTGTAGCTATGCAGTCTCTTGGGTAATTCGTTTTTTATTTATCTGATGCTCGCTTTCCTGAACCATGTCTAAATTTCAAAATCTCACTTTTTTATTTTTATTTTAACTTGATACTTCAAATCAATTTATTAGTAAAATAGTTGGCCTCTTCAGATAGTTAACTGTGATGAGTAGTTTAGAAACCTGATCAGATAAATGCAGGAACCATTTTTATTATTGATGATACACTGCTTCCAATGAGGATTATTGATTTGCCTCTTACTTGCAGAGGATGTTTAGGTCACCAAATTCAGTAGTCAACAAAGCAAGGACACAGTTACTGAACAAGCAGCGAATGCTTTCTGAGGTAGATTTATTCCCAATTAATTATTTTGCTTCCTCTCTTACTATGCATGCATTGTATATGGTCGTTTGTCATGGTGGTGTTTAACCATGCTTGCAAGAATATTCTCTACTGGGTTCTTTTATTGTCTTGGTATGAAAGATAACGCTAGCTGTGTTATTGTGTGTTCTAAACTGTATCATTTAGGATATTAATTGATTAGAGAGTTTGGGTGGTACTTAAGCCACCCTTAACTTGCTACTTGCATGGGTGATACACAGTCTACTTCACCGTCTAGGTAATCTGGTGGGTGGTACTTAAGCCACCCTTAACTTGCTACTTGCGTAGGTGATACACAGTCTACTTCACCGTCTAGGTAATCTGGTCAATGTAAACAGAGATTTTCTTATTCTGGATTTGTGGAAGCTGAGAGTTAATTATGCCCTACAGATGGGTTGTGACTTTAGTGGACTGGTGGACATTATGTGGTGTTATCTGCTGGTCGCTTTTATGGCATCAACAATTTTATATACTATTTCAAATTTTGCTAAGTTTAATGACCCTTTTCTGCTCTTTTTTCAGGGTAGGAATATAGGACACTATGCCATCAATATGGGAAACGAAGAGATGTAGAGTCTCGACCTCTTGCAATCATAGATCACATTGTGGGCTTAGGTTATTAGATATTACATGAAAGTTTATTCTCATCGCGGATTAAGTACATGGATACAATCTTTTTGGTTAAGTGGCTGGTAGCATTACATACAGTGATTGATAATACTTGTAATTCGTTACATTTACATTTCTCTTCATTGTGTTAATTGAAGCCATCAGTAATACAACTTGATTCTGGCATTTAAATTCTGTGGCAGCTTAAATCTTTCTGTTGACCTTTTTCACTTGTGCCAGCATAAAAATTCTATACAATTATTTACATTATACTCACAATTCTCACACAAGATTCTTTAGCATGCTATAACACGTCACAAAACCGTCCATTATCTTGGTCATATAGGCAGCCACTTGTATAGGTTACCGCCCTCCAGAAGAGTTTAAAGGGAAGGTTAATACTTTAAGCTGGTCCTTTTCCTATCCCAAATTTTGAAAGTTCAGGCCAGTTTAATTTTATTCTCTTAGATATCTTATGGAATTTGAACTCATTCATCCATAACTTAATGAAGAGTAGCAAGGATATTTCCGATCAAATATCTGCAGTTACGAAAGCCATCATAACAGAACCAAGTATCAGGAGAGTTAATTAGCAGAGTGCATACAATTTTATATTTATACATCACAACAATAAACACATTCATAATCCTTTGTAGCTTATTCTCATTTATCTCCATATCCCGTTAGTTTCGTGTCCTTTCGACATTTCAAATTCAGTTTCTAAGGGTGAACCTGCTTGGCAAGCACTCCATTCAGACCTTTTTCAATCTTTCTAAACCTTCACTAATCAAGTAACGATCTTCTGCATGTCATTGCAGTACCGATCGTCTGCCTCAATTTAGCTGTAAATTCGAATGCATTGGAAAAACATTCGTACAGGTTGCTTAACGTGTTTGCTTAATGTGTATTTGGAGAAATGAAAATGTCTGGGATTAGTCTTAATATGTTTGCTTAACTTAAGGATGATAATCTTTACGATGCTATTAAGGTTCTTAATATGATGGTTAGAAAGGGTGTAGCCCCAATCCATCTACTTTCAATACCATATTCAGATGAATTGCAAAGGTACGGGATATGAATCCGATATATGCTTAAGATGAAGGGAGTTGAAATGTGAGCCAAATTCTGTGACTCATAATACTTTGATGCAAATGATTGCTACCTCAAAATCGACATGTTTATCAAACTAGAAAAAGGAAACGGATGAGTATGACATTGAGCATAATGTGAACACCTACCGAGTTTGAATATGTATTGTGATATGGGGCATTGGGTAAAATGAAGCGTGGTGGTGTTAATGCATTTGCTTCTGTTTACAACTACCTTGAATTAAACGTTAAAAAAGAAATCCAAAGGACAAGTTACAGGTCAATTCAAAGCTGAGCAAGTACTTGAGTAAGTGCTTCACGAGGTCGAAATATCATCTTCACACACTTTTTTCGCTTGTTCAACTTGTGTTTTGCCACACCTTGGCTCTTGTCCTCGGTCTCAGCCTCTTCCCACTCAAAGCACTGTATCAAGGTCCCCAGTGATAAAGTCATTAGTCTTATGGCTAATGTTGAGCCAGGGCATATCCTTCTACCAATACCAAATGGGACGAATTTAAACCCTCCTCCTTTTTCATTCTGTAGGAAACGCTCGGGCATGAAGCTATTGGGCTCTGTCCACAATTCGGGGTCCCTGTGTAAGGTCAATACATTTACCATTAACTGTGTGCCACGCGGGATGTGGTAACCTCCAATTGTGCAATCCTCCGACGATTCACGTGGAGGTAAAACTGATACATCAAGTCTGAGTGTTTCATTAATAATGCAATGAAGGTACGTAAGATTAGGAAGATCCTCATCATTTAATAATCTGGATTGTCCAACCACGTTGTCAATCTCGTCCCTTGCTTTTTTCAAGATCTCTGGATGTGATATAAGCCGTGAAATAGCTGCTTGCATTGTAATCACCGTGGTGTGTGTGCCCGCCATTAGCATTGCCTAAAGCACCAGTAACTACCACCATTAAATAGTTCAAGGAATTTCTATATTGTAGCAAATTAAAGCTAATAAGGATCTTTCTTACTTTCCATATTTTCAGATACTAATTGTGTTTATTTATAATAGTTTTGGGCATAACCATCATATTTCCTTTCATCACATCATCGTTGTAGAATTCAGGTTCAAATTCCTTTAGCTTCAGCATAACATCAATGATGGTTTGATCAATCTCGCTACCGCCACCACTAACTGAAGGAGTTTTATCAAGATTTTGACGTGCATCAAGCATAGCCTGCAAAAAAGCATCTCTCTTTTTAAACTTGTTTAGGATTTTCTTCTCCGCTCCATAGCAAGTCAACCACCTCAGAAACGGAAAGTAGTCACCCAAGGCCAATGGCTCAACAGGACTAAACGACTGCTTAAGATCATCTAATTTGTCTTTGCCTCTGTCCGTGTCTATTTCATTTTCTTCGAAGCACCTAGTACCTGCAACCATCTTCATTATTATATTAAAATCCAACATGTAAAGAAACGAATTCAATTCTACTTTCACAAATCCTTGAAAAGATGTTTGGAACAAATATTTGATCATAAATCTTATTTCTTCAGTGCGAATGGTTGAAGACAGTTGGAGACGCTTTGGTGAGAGTACTTCAACGGCAAAGAAACGTCTGAGATTGCGCCAATGATTGCCATATGGAGCTCCAAGGGTAGTGAAGTTGTACTCTACAACCTTTCTTGAGGGCAAGAGTGGACGGTTGCTAAAGATGATATCATTTTTTGAGAAGCATTCTTCAATGTCTGAACGAGCGGAGAGTACCAGTGTCCGGCGTTTACCTAAGTGAAGAAGAAATAAAGGACCATACTTGTTGCAGAGTTTATTAAGAACTTCATGCAGGGGCAATTTTAATAGCATTTTTATGAAGAGGAAATGACCTATTATAGGAAGACTAGGAGGCCTAGGCAATACGTTTTTACGTTCAATTCTTTTAGGAACAGTGAGTTGGTAGAGAATGAGAAGGAGGGAGACTAACACAAGGAGATAGTGCAAAGCATCCATGGCGCGGTCAGTATTATTTGGGATCGCATGTTCATTACAGGGGAAAACGTGGGTTTATATAATGGAAAAATCTTTAACACTTCCCACATGAGATAAATTTGGTGTCATTTTCTCATTATCGTTTTTATCATCATCACCCTTGGTCTCTTTCAATTCGACAACAGCACAAGATATAAGATAGAAGAACTGCCTCGGATCGGCGTTAGACTGATGATTCTTCTCCATTTGTTTGAATGTATATTACTAAGTTGCAAGTTTGACATGTACTAGACTCTTTGGACTTGTATAAAAAAAAAAATTCGTCCATAAAAGATGCTTCCGGCATAAAGAGAATTGATTTTCATCTGCTAAGACCGAAAACTAAAAAAATCTGCTCTTGCTTCCTTTTGGAAAGAGGAGTTGTGTACTGATTGGCTGTGACCAAGCATAATTATCTCATGTTACTGCCATGACTTTTTCCTCTGTAATTTGTAATTTACCAAGGAAGATGAAGGAGCACAATACAAGAGACATGCTAGAGTTAAAGTTAAGAAAACTAGTCCAAAAATATGTTTGGCATTGCTGACATAAGAGGCATGGATTATGTTAATATTGGTCTCAGACTTTCAGTCATCTTCATCTGCAGGAATGGCGATATGATGTAAAACATGGGCCGTACTGGTCATTGGATGGGCCACTCGCCTTTTGCAGGGAAACTGGTTGCCCCATAGAGCAATGCTACAGTTACGAAAACATATTCCAAATTCACACACAGACGTGGCACGATCAGCGACGGACCCAGAATTTTGGCCCGGGCTCCGTGGCTCTGTCATTGTTTTTCAAACAACTAGTAAAAACTTAAAAAAATTACCAAATTTTAAGCAAAGAAAATAATACAATATCAATAATCTAAAAAAAAATAATGCAATAACTTTACCACTTGAATAAATCTATGAGAAGCAAAACTTTGAATAAATTATGTTGAAAATAACATCCAATTCATAAGGAAATACAAGAAAATTTGTGAAAAAAACTTTTTAATCAAAGAGAGTAAAAGACCATGGAAATCTAACGATCTACTTAAATTCAATATAATTAAAAAAGTTTACAACAATCACAATCCACCAAAAATGTTTTACACAAATTTCTTATTTCTCCTCCTTTTTTTTCTTTTAATTTTTATTTTTTATTTTTGGCTTTCAAAGATTATAATATAAATTTGCATGACTTTGATCAGGTCTAACCTAAGTTAAAGTAAACCAAAACTTAAATTAAGTCAACGTTGTCTTAACTTTTAATATGAATGAATAAAAAAAGGGAAATTTTCTTAGTATAAAGTATAAACATAGATAATAACTCAAATTTCTTTAATAATTTTAAGCAGTTAACCGGTGAAGTTTAAAATGTAGGAAAGTGATGGGTGAAGGGTGAAGAGTGAAGCATAACGTTCAGTAAAATATAGTTAAGGTTTAATTTGGGAAAGCAGGAACATTCTTAAACATAAAACAAACTTACAAGATCCATGCCTTTTTTCTATCAAATTAGAATAAAAAACTTCCAAAAAATAAGCATGATTCAACCCTAAAATAAACTAAAATGAAATGAGCAATATACATACATAAAACTGATAAAACAAAAAACGAATCTAATTGTGATACCTTGATTAGTGAAAATTTTAACAATTTCAGTTTTAAAAGTTTTAAGAATAAATAAGATAGAGAAAGTGAACGAGAGAATAAATGATTTTATCTATAAAAAACAGGTGGATATAGAAAATAGTAGAGAGAGTTTTAAATTTTTAATACGACGTAAATGTAAAATACATAGCAAGTTGTTTGGATATATTTATAATATTTCTCCTTTTTTTTAATTCGAAGATAGACCTGATATATATGTTAATAAAAAAAATTTATGGCCTATATAAACAATTTTTTTGTTAAATGTGAGGTAAGGGGCTGGGTCCGCCCCCGGGCACGATCCTCTTTTCTTAAACCGGTGGGTATATGTTTTTCCGTAGAGTGATGCTATGGGTACTAATGGATAGGTACTAATCTGTGTACTAACTAAAGCATAGTACACAGATTAGTACCCATCCATTACTACCCAAAGTATTATTTTTTTCCGTATTCATTTTTCTTGCCGCATTCCCGCATATGACTGTTTATGTAACAAAAATTCATCCAAACTTCCAAACTAATAGAAATGACCAAAAATACATCATTTCAAGCCGATCATTTCGTCACTTCATCTTTGACTTTTCAAGGGATTGTAGATGAGTGATGCTATGGGTACTAACGGATGAGTACTAATCTGTGTACTAACTAAAGCATAATACCTGTACTATGCGCATAATACGGGTACTATACTTTAGTTAGTACACAGATTAGTACCCACCCATTAATACCCAAAGTATTATTCATTGTAGATTGTACCCGAACCCTTCAGGATGTAATGCTTACTAGTTATCACTTAAAACATTTGATTCTTTGAACAAAATATACAGAAAACATGTAAAATCTACCATATGATATGCAATGAGTTACATATGTGCCTCTCCAAAAACGTATAAACAACCTGTCAGCCGACTATAACACTCTGGATGACTTCAAACGAAACAAACTCAATATACGATTTTTGTTGCCCTCTACAAAACTTCTCTATTGTTCTGAAATCTATGAAAAAAAAGTGTCTCCATTTTCTTTATATTTAAATGGTGTCTATCAACCACTCAATCCAGCAAAGTGCTTATTCATGGCCCGGTCTTTTCTGTAATGATTTCTTCCTCCTCCCCTCCTTCCGCCGCCCCGATGATTTCCCATATTCCCTCTCCCTCCCATATCAGTACCATCAGACTTGTTATCTTGTTCCTCATTGGCATCTCTCGATCCTCCTCCCCTCCTTCCCCTGCCCCTATGATTTCCCACATTCCCTCTCCCTCCCATATCAGTGCCATCAGACTTGTTATCTTGTTCCTCATTGGCATCTCTCGATCTTCCTCCCCTCCTACCCTGGCCCCAAGAATTTCTCATGTTCTCTCTACCTTCCACCTCAAAAACATCAGACTGTTTATCCTCTTCCTCATGCTCCATTAGCTTCTTAACAGCACCTAAAGGAAGATTGCCACCACGGCCAAGACCATATATTAATTCTTTCTGAGATTGAGTGACTAATGATGCTTCATTAGCATTTGCAACAGCAACTGAGCCTGCAACCTTGTAACTGTAATTCTTACCATCTTTAACATAATATTGGGGCTTTTTCTTGGATCCCCATTTTGAACTAGGAGCTGCCTGAGCAGAGTTACCGGTCTGTGTACCCCAAGAGTTGCCCGAACTGGAACTGATTCTGTCACCCAAGATCTCATGTTCCTCAAATCCTGACTCCACAACACTCAGTCCCAGGTCATCAAAAGAATCATCATACTCATCTTCATACTCATACTGTGAAATCAAAGCACTAGTTCTTGCATTATCAGTCTCATCTCTGGTATCAAGGGTAACATCATCAGGCAAGTGAGCTTTAGACTTCCTAATGTACCTCCCAACTGTAGATGAGGATGAAAATGAGGGTCTCTCAGTTTGTGGCTCCCTAACAAGTGCCACAGGAGTAGCAGAGTTTGGCATTGTAGGTTCAACTAGTTTTCCTTTCCCTTTATCATTCGTGCTTACAGTCGAAGTAGACTTGGGAACTGTCATTGTTTCTAAAGAAGTATCCAACAACTGCAGATCTTCATGGAGAGTATTCTCAAGGATCCTCTGGATAACCTCTTCTGGATTGTGGTTGTAAACTTCAAGACATGCAGCAAGAAACCCTTTACCATAATCAGGAAATAGGTCCTTTACTTGACTGATTTTAGACTCCTTGATCAGAGCATCTTCATCCATATGCATATTGCTGCTCATCACAGAAGGAGGTACAAGGGCCTGCTTCTTAGCAAGGTCTTTTGAAGAACACATGATCCCAGATAAATATTGCAATTGTTCATCCTCCATGAATATCCATCCTGCATGAAAGAAATGATTAAAAGTTGTTTTAAACATAATAGATAAGGACCGAAATGAATAAACACTGAGGTTAATAAGATTAAGCACAAGTTGATTCAGGGTTTCTATACAAAACTTACTTTAAATTAACTAAAAAGAAGTTAAGAACTAAAAACTGAACATAGATTTTTTAATACAAGACCTAATAGATGTCTCCAAGAAAATAGCCAATATGATTAGATCTCTTGCGCTGAGCATGTGCTCTAGGGATGAATCAACCTCAAAGTAACCTTGGTGAAGAATTTCACTATATATAAAGTCTGTGTTTGGGAACAGGTGGGCTGGGGTATGTGGTCAAAAAGTAACATAAAAGTGGCAAAGCATGCCCCCGCATAATAAACATAATTATACCAGAGTAGCAACATAACCACCAAAGATACTATAAAAAAGTCAAAATAACAATATTCTAATAGCTTTATTATAGTCTTTTGATATATAACAGACATGCCTACAAAGCAGAACAACAATTAACAACAAGAGTGCTGCAGAAAAATGTAGTTTGTGAATGGAACTCACCAGTATTCTGTAGATTCTCAAGTCTTCTAAGTAAATTGTAATTCCTTTCAACTTTTTTAAGAAAAGTTTCCCTGTTTTGGTCCTGAACTTGTAGTGAAACTCCACTGATCTCCCTTAAAGTTTGAACTACAATATCTGCCCTAATGAAGGGATCCTCCACTTTAGCAGGAAACATTTTTGTGACAGCTGGAATCGAAAGACCATCTTCAAACACTTCACTGCCTAGATAGCAAACATCTAATAATTTCCAACCAAGTTTCACTATTCTCATTGATAACATCTTCAAGCTAATAGCAATGTTGGCAATCATTTCATCTTCTCCAGCAGTAAAAATGATTCGAAATCCGCGCTGAAAAGATGGTAGCAATGAATCATGCAACCGAGCGAGGGTGCTGAGCAATTCCTCATTCCCAAAACTGCATAGACAGTAATTCTGATATTAGAATGGAAACAAAACTTCCTTAGAGAATCTGCAGGGAACAGAAGACAGATTGACAGATCAGCCATTTCAAACATACCCTTTCCCTATAACCAAATAAGAATTAAAAGAGCACATGCTGATGGTAGTGGTACACAGGATCAAGTTTCAGTCAGAAACAAAATCCCTCCAACAGATGGGGTTATTGACTCAATGGTAAGTCCAACACATCAAATTAATTAAAACCCCAAACTACACGTAAGACATACCAAGAGGTTCTACTGAGAAAACAACAAAGAAAAATGAAGCCTTTAATTTTAGAAGATATTCAGTAGTCAGAAAGGAACCTCATCTCAACAGGGCTCGAGAAGATCAGAGCTGCTGGACTGTATGCAGTAACAAAAGCATCCATGGATACAATTGCATCATTTATAAAGTCCATCACCTGAACAAGGACAATAGTTCATAATTAGAAGTAATGCACATCTTGCTTACAAAATTGTTAAGTAATATGAGCATATAAATTCACTGCCTTGTCCCATGGGTAATCAATATCAGGAAAATAGTTTCATTGCAGTAAAAAATACATGGCAATTATTTGTTTCACTCATTCACACAACAAACAAACAAGAATAAACCTATAATCATTTTACATATCTACACGCAGATGATTAAAAGATTCCCATTCCAATGAAAAGAACAAATGGAGCAGTGTGGGAGAACAGACAGAGAATCATCAACCCATTATGTTCCTGAAAGAATAAAGAAAGCAACTCACCTCTAAAAGATCAGCACGAAGCCGACTTAATTCTCTCTCTTCATGCCGCCCAGAGGAAAATAGAGCCTGCTCATCAAATCAGACATAAATATACAAGAAATCCTTTCTTCCAAAATCTTACTATCATGAAGTTTAAAAAGACAAGAAATATATAATCAATTATAAACACTAACTTTAAATTAAAACCAAGATTGTCATCAAGACACCCACAAGATAAGCACCACCATGTTTTCATTTCTGTATCCAATCAAGTTAATCATGATTTATAAGAGCAAAAGAAGGTAGGATGCTATGGACCATATGGATAACGACTTTTCGTACCACAAGGCACATTGCATATACTCTTATTCAGTGAATAACAGTAAATAAATCTCACATTAGCACAAATTTATTGGAAGAAACTTTCTGTGAGTATGTAAACTAGAAATTGTACCTCTAAAGATGAGCTGCAACGTTGATGCATTGTGTGAACAATACCCAAGAAATGAGACAATACTCCAATAAAATTGTCATGAATCCCAGGCTGAGCTTTCAGAGCATTACTGACCTATAAAAAAAGGTATAGAATAGAGAGAAATAAGTAATCCAATTAATACATATACAATAATACAACTAACCAACTCTCAATAAAAGCTAATTTCCCTAGAGATAGAGCAATCGTTGTGGATATGAATCCTTACAAGCAATCTGGCCAAATCTTCATTTTCATGACCATATATAGCACAAATATCCAACAGCTTAGGCAAGTCAAGCAACTTCTTTTCCTGCAAAAGGACTACATGCAAAATTAGTGAACAAATGTGTATTTGAAAATAATATGATCACTAATAGTCTAATACAGCATTCCATCTTCAACATACACCAGACTAAATGAGGGCTGAGCTGTGAAACAAAGTAAAAAAATATTATTTGCAAGAAATAATATTTTATCAGTTGAGGTATGGATAAATTATTATATAAAGCCAATCAAAAGCCCATAGAAAAAGTAATAAATTACACCATAACAAGGTATATGCAAACAAATACACATAAAACGACTAAACCAAACAAAAGCCTTATTAAATTCCTTTACCAACAAGAACCACCTGCATGGTCTTTAGAACTAAGGCTATCAGCAGCACGGGCGCCAGGATCTTTATTAGAAGATCTGCATTACGCACACAAAGAGAAAGAAAAAAAAAAAAGTGATCCAATAGTAAATTAATGGGCAAAAAATAACAAGAGATGACTTACATTCGATAAAATAGCATAAAAACACGGCGGCTTAATTCGAACTCTCCAACAATGACCCCTGCAACTATTCCCTTGACTCCACGATAGGGAAAGTCATACCATCTGCTTCTAAACTTTAAGAAACTATCCAAAAAATCATGCAATGACGCGTCACTAGCCACTGACCACAACAAAAGAAGTCAAAATTTCATCCTAGGTAACTAAGAATATTGATAATATTAAACAAAAAACAAAAAACAAAATACCTTCTCTCCAGAAATCTCTAGGGTTTAATTTTAGCGACCTAGACAACTCCCTGTTTAACAAATCAACAACCCTCTGCGATTCGACCGGATCCAATCCTCCTTCATCAGCGCTGAGACCAGCAGCGACGGCTTCGTCCTGCGGCAAGTAATTTACGAAATTACGAGAATGAGCATGAGCTGAAGCTGCTGCGTCAAGGGTCGGTGCCCCGCTGCCGGATGACGTGGCGCTACTAGATGTTGGCACATCGGAATTTTGTCTAAGGGAATTTGACAGAGTGGTGGCGTTAAGGTCTTTTGGGATAAAATTTCTTTTGTTTCTGGGAAACTCTTGTTTGTTATTGTTGTTATATCGGTTCGACATCATTAACAGTGAATCGGTTATTTGAGAGAGTTGATAAGAGGAAATTTGGAGTAGAAGAATTTGATCAGTAGAAATTTCCTGTGCTGCCAAAGAAGATGGAGTGACGGAGTTCTTTTTAATTTAGGCCAATTTCAAGATACCTCTCTTGAGGTTTGGTAAAAACCATGAAAGCCCAAATATTTTGAAAAAATTCCTGACCACCGCTCACATCCGGGTTTTGTCTCATATAAAACAAAATAACAGAATTGCCCTTCACAGTGTTTTTGACCCTTGGTGAGCAAGTAATACTAATTAAATCTCCAACTCTTCACTTTCTGCACAATGTTGGTTATTATCGGGTAAATGATTCCATTTTCTTCGTTTCATTAATGCAAACACTTTTACTAAAGCTTTAGTTTGTATTTAACTAAATTCATTCCCATTTTCAATGATTAGGATATAGGAATTAGGAGGCAATGCGGGCAGATTTATTCTTCACCTGCACATTAACACAACGCAACCAAGCAGAATTTCAGAAACCCTTCAACTCAACTCTATATTAATATCTTTTTCCTTGGCCACTCGTACTGAGACATCAAAATCAATGCGTTGAATTAAACCTTATTTCTATTTTATTTTCATCCTCATTCAGTCATGAGGTCCAGACAGATCAAATTAGTGAAAATGATCAATTGTCATTTATGATTTTAACCCGCTACAAACTCCTTCCAAAATTATATTAAAAATAATTCTAGAGCTTTTTATATAAAATGTAAAACAATATAAATAGAAGAAGCAAAACAAAATGATGATAAATGGAAGAGTTATACAATAAATTTAGTCTCAAGAATATACAAACATAACATAACATTACTTTAGATATTTACAAGATTCGATAAAAGGAGGAGAAAATTGATTAAAAGACATCTAATAATTTATATTTGTGATGGTGTCAACACATGAAAAGATGCTAAAAGTTTAGAATCAAAACAACAATTAAACACTATTTGAACCATCACCTAGGCATCTACAAGCATTAAATTGAAATTCCTATAAGTCTACAAAAACTTATATACCATACAGAGTGTATGTAAATTATGTAAATCAACAACCCTTGATTCCTCAATAAACTATCAAACATTAGATCCATTAATTTCTGCCTAGTCAGATCGGTGATTCTATTCTCTTTCTTACAGTACCAACAATAAGAAACAAAAAGTTTTGTTTCTTCTAACATAAGTGAAATATATTTCCGGCAAAAATCACGATATTGTAACAGTAAGTGCCAAAATATATCTCATAGAGCAGAACAAGCATGTCTACTCAATGAAGATCATACCCATTCAAAGTTTGTTTCTTTGGGCAAAACCAAAGCAATGAGACAGTCAGATGAATCAGGTGCAACTGAAAGCATGGAGCACACCTCATGCGAGTAAGGAAGTATAAAGAGAAGCCTTGCCCAAATGGATTTTAAAGCTGGAATCTTGATTACTCCGGCACATTCTCTCTGCTTCAGGTATGATATAAAATCCTGAAACTGCACAAGAAGTTGCAAAACAATGAGTGCAGTAAAATTTAGAGATTTTAAGACAATGGTTCCACTTCCTAACTATGCATCAGATGATTACACAACATTTATTATAAAGCCCCATGATAATCAGATGTTAAAGCTGACTTCAAGCTTAATAGAGTGGAAATGAGATATCTAACAATTCTACCATCTGGATTACAATTAAAATTTGATTAAAAATTTTCAGGCTTCGGCAGATAATATATCATTTCCCTTCTACAGTGAGATCTTTTAGTGTTCGATAACAAATTTAAGCTTCAGTGATAAGTTTGCAAATAAATTATCATAGTAAACGTTTTTCTAAGAAGCATTTTTGGAAATATTGAGTGTGTTTTGGGAGATTAAGTTAAAGACAAAAATCACCTACCGAAAGTAATAGTAAATCACACCATGACAGATATGTTGCAGAAATAACTGTGAAACAAAAAATAAATAAATGAGAAAACTTACGCCTTTATGGTCACCAGAAGAAGAGGGAATCAGCCGACATACCTCCCTCTGCAACACACATCAAAAACTGTAAAGTATGAAAACAAAAGATATTTATACCATTTCAGAATATGTCATAAAAAGAATAAAGGAAGTTCATTAAACAGCTAATAATCAGTTATTGAACTGGCGCAAAAAGTTAACTGCATAACAAAAGCATCCAAAAAAGGGAAGTAGAGGAAGAAGGAGCAGCAACTCAAAATCTGTGTCTTACATTCCATAGAATATCGGATTGAGGGTCCAACCAAACTACTCAGAGTACATTTCAAAAAAATTTCCTATGCGTCTAAAACAGAAAATCCACGAGTAGAAGCACAATGCATCTTAAGAATTCCTTGCAGCATAATCGAAAGTTCATTATTTGAAAGCTAAAATTATGTTCGGATACTGAAGAATTCAGGAAAGATGTTCAAAATTTTGCATCTTGCAGAAGAAGAGGAAACATTACTCCATAGTTCCACATGCAACAGACTTATTAAGGCTTAAAGGAAGTTCAAAACCATTACTTTAAACTACAAATTGAGTAAATATTTTGGCATAAAAAACAATCTCTAGAAAACTGATGTTCAAAAATCCCATATTTTGAAGCAATAAAATTCAGAAAGCCTGATTTATAGGTATATCAGAGAAAATGTTAATTTGATGACAGAATTGTAACCAACCATCAAGATATGAGAGGAGAGGAAAAGGGGGAGAGGGGGGGTGGGTGTTGGGGGAGAGACCAAGAGAGAAAGTAAACTCACTTTATGTGGCGGGGTACTAGTAAATGTTGACGTCACATGCCGGAAATCAGTTCGTTTGGTCATATCTAATTTAGCAGGCCATCTGCACCAAGTATTAACCATGGAAACCATTACTAGAAATTAGTTTCAAGTACAACCAGATCAAAAATAACAAATTGAGACAAAGCTCTCACTCGGCAGGTTCAGAAATGTCATTCGAATACTTGCAAATATTTGAATCCTCTCTTCGAGCATAGATTGTGCAGTAGTGAACACCACTCTTGCATAGTGTTCCCTGCCACTGGAACTGGACTAATTGTCCAGAACTTTCCTTTTCAGTTGATTCTGTGGCAGGTGGAGGTGGAGGTGGAGGTGGAGGGGGAGAACTAGGTGGTGGAGATGGAGGCAACGGAGGAGGTTCTTCAGGCTGAGGTGGTGGTAGGGATGATAAAGGTGGGGGTACAACAGGATGAGAAAACATCTGATCATAACTCTGCATTGATGCTCCCTGTATCTGTGCAAGTGGAGTCACCGAAGGGGGTATGAAAGGAGCTGCGACTGCATTCCCATGAAATGTATTGGGCACAACACTAGGCGAGATCGGGTTTAAAGGGAAATGATGATTTGATCCTCTTGCATCCCAGGAACTGTTTGGAGGAGGGTAAACAGGTCGCAAAAATGGAGATGGCTGGATTTGTTGTGGTGGTGGAATAGGTCCCTGTGTTGCGATAGGTAAGCATGGCATGTTACCTGAAACAGAATGCAACTCGATTTTAGATTTTTCATTTACCCACATTTCTTCGGTGGCCCAGAAATCAGTGTGACCACTTAAAAAAAATCAGTCAGATATACAACTACAATGAACGGGGAAAATGGAGAAGCGATATTAAATTTCAATAAATAAATTAGCACCTCCTTGTGAAGGATTAAGCATTATGTTATTGTCATGACCATCAATTTTTCTAACCCCAACTTCAGGAATCTCTGCACGAGTAGAAACAGGCCAATTTGACTGAAATGAGTGTCCACCTTGTACACCAGTTCCATGATTCTCAGATATTACTCTGGGGGATACAAGCTCCATTGAACTGCCCTCAGGTCTTACAGTGTATGGTGAAGCATGGTGCTTTCCTGGTTGACTGCACAAATAGCGGAAAGAATTTATCTTTAGGTAGAGAGTAGTGATAAATGAATTATACTCTCATGAGTTAGCACAACTTTAAACACTAGAATATCTACACCATCCAAGTACCATGTATTTTTGTTGTCATAAGAGAAGAACAAAGGAAATGAACAGGAACAAAACAAAAAATGAAGTTGTTTCAAACACATGCAATGTCCCAGGTTGTTCAACCATTTCAATAACCACATTCTTTGAAATCTAGAGTCATTATTTAATAAATCTTTTTACGGTCATTCACGTGAAGAACTCAATAAAATATTTCAAAAAGGATAAAATCCAAAAGAGAACCAAACAAAACACATATCTTAGTTCATGGATTCAGAGATTAGAATTGTAAGACCTTGCACCATGGAAAGGGGCAGTGTGAGGTGATCCAAAAGCACTAGTAGACATGTTGCCCATATGACTACTTCTGATGTCAGCATGGACAGGGGCAGCAGGTACAGACCTTGCAACGTCCATATGGGATATTGCAAGATTAGCTGGCCCAGCATTTAAAGGTGGCATATAGTTACTTCTACCCTTACGTAGCTGTCTAAGATGAGCCATTGCAGTGGCAGCTTCTTCAGGAGTTTCAAATTCCATTAGTAATGTACCTTCACAACTAAGATCAGTCACCATGTAAGGACCCTTGTAAACAACTTTACTTGATTCATGCAGAATTTCATCCCTTGCCCACTGGCTTGTAATATTTCCAACATAAACATGAGAACTAGAACCAAATGCAACACCATTTATGGTACCCCTAGTTCCCAATCCTATATCCATGAATTTTATGCGCCAAGGAAAATTGCCATGGATATAATCCCGAGCTCTTATGGCATCAATTATGTTTCTGTATTCAACCAAAGCAAATCCTTTGATTGGGAAGAAAAAGAAATGGTCCAATGGACCAAACCTCTCAAGATGAAACCTTATATGACCTTCAGATACATCAGGTCCAAAAGAACCCAACCACAATTGCTTAGAAGCAGAAAAAATATCCATGGCAGCAGGATCCCCATCAAAATACCAAACAATTTGAGATGTTGTAGAAGCATACGGCACCGTTGAATGGTGATTAGGAGATACCAAAGCATTGCTAGTGCCTCCATCCAAGGATCTCAAGGCAGGAAAATGATTTCTTCCCTCAAATGAATTACTCCGGAAGTCTAATGGTGTTCTAGCAACAGGTGAAAGCATTTGCTGGTTGGATAAGTCTTTAGGAATGGAAGACCTGCCACATGAGTAATCTCCATGGTCACTAGTCTCAAAGTCCATTGACCTTGTGCCACCACTATCATGACTAGAACCTGCATTTGAGTGGAGATCAGTTTCAAGAGGGCCAACTGAGCTGCGAGGTTTCGGATATTGTCCAGAAAAATTGTCAGTAAAACTATCATCACATGATCCATCATGAACTCTTGCATTACCATCTTTTCCTGATAGTTCCCTGGAGGTTTCATGTGTATTAGAGATCCTAGGCACAAAATATTTCCGAGTAACACACTTTGATGCATCAGAATCATCCTCATCACTATCAACTTCACTGGCTTCCACTTTAACCACTTCAGGGAATGCTTCAAAGATTACTTCCAAAGCAGATGTAATTTCTGATACAGCAATTGAAGACGTTGAGTTACATAACTTCTTATACCTTGAAAACATCCAACTTCTCAAAGATGGAATTTGGCCAAGCACCTGCATAGAACATGTTCCAGTGCAAGACATCATTGAGGAGAAAGCAAAGGGTAAGGGAACAAGCATACCACTAACTTTAGATGAACAGAAAAATATCACTTTATATTCTCTTCAAAACTTAAGGACATAAAGCCAGTGTTCGGCTCAGGAAAGATCAATAGAATTGAAGAAAATGACACGGAGATTTTACATGCTTTTGAGGGTGTTTAAAATTAATTAATGAAATAAAAGCACATATGGAAACACCATCCCATGATTTGTTATAACAAAACTGCCACATAATTTTGTAAACAATCTAAATGAAGAAAAGAAAAATTATAGAGCAATCAAGCAGCCACTAGCAAAGCAGGAAAAAGGTCTAACAGACTATTGTCATGAGCATGGAAAATGATCTAAACTTGCAGCAATTACTTTGGGTTTTCTGGTAGATCTAAAAAGTATAAATTTAGACACTGGTAATCAGTTTCAACCTACGATTGCACAAGTTTAGACATCTAAAGGAACATAAGAAGAGTTTTTAGTTTTCACTTTAATCAAACATGTAAAAAGAGTTTTGAATAACCTGAATCAGCCTAAAAAATTTGTATCAGATATATTCACTCAGGAACCAAAAAATTGCAAAACAGGCAACGTGCATGATAGTTGGATCGCAACCCATTCAAGATAGAATTTTCTAAGAAAATGGTTAACAATATCTATGATAATAAAGATGATATTGAACAAACCCTGAAGGCCTTTCTAATCATAAAAAGTTTTGTGTCCATACTCATTGCAGGGGTACTTTTAGAGTAGAAGGAAGAATTGAGATTCTTTTAACTCAATATTTACCATTTAAAGTAATTTGAATGTTCAATAGAGATGCCAGACTTTTTAACCACTACTCATGCTTATTTATTACACATCAATTATCCAAAAGGTGCACCCAAAAGTAATAAAAATTTCGATAAAGATGCTAGAATTTGTAACGTTAGTACTATTTTTTTTATTAAACCTCAATTATCCAAATGATACACCCAAATTTTTTTATTTTTTTTATTTTCCAGTGCAGTATAGAGAATATAAATATATATAACGTCTATTTGAGATGCAGAAATATTATCAAGTATTACCAGTCCCAACAAGCAACTCTTTGGAACAGGAGAGGCATCTATTGAAACTTGGCTGCCACCAGATACTAGCTCATCATTACAAGCCTCCTTCGCTTCAGCGTTTCTTTCAGGAGATTTAGGTCCATCACCTTTTATATCTAAAGGGAAAACCACAGCATCATCATCAAACCTGCTTGTTATTTGACTTAAAAAATATTTTCCTCCATGAACTCCCTCTGATTCAGCAGGGTTGAAGAGCTCGAAACATGCAGCAAGCAAATTCTTAGGGCTAGAAAAGAAAATCCGAAGTAGACAAAGTACACGAAACTTGGACAATTTAATCAATGAAGACTTGTCCTCTTCAGAAAACTTTTTCTTTAGTTCAAGAAAGATCACATTGGAATTTTGCATCTTCAAGATCTCTTTATCAACATTATGAAAAATATCTTTTCCATCGAAGGAGGATAAGAAGAAGGCCAGTACATTATGAAAAACTGCAGAGCAGATGCCTCGGATGACAGATGATGTTGGTGCTTCTGAAGAAGCAGTAGAACAAATATCAACTAGACCAAAAATGCATGCTTTAGCAGTCTGAAATGCAACACCATCAGAATCGTCTCCCCTATTTATCACTGCCAAACTCCAATTATGCATGTTTATGACAACTTTAGCTGCAGCTTCCAGAGCAGTTGGACAGTATGATGCATATCGAGGAACAAGATCAGCTACAATACGTTGCACACTTGCACAGCCTACAAGGTTGGCAGAATTTACAAACATAAGAAATCTCTGCCTGCAAAGATATTAAAGATGATAATATATTTTATCATCTTTCTAACAACAACAGCACACCTTTCCAAGTTATATGAGGAACCTTTAATGCAATACACACAATGGTTGACCCTAAAGTTTTTTTAGTGAAGGAAGATTTCTCTGAAAAAACAGAACAAAACAAAAACTTTTCACTTGTCTTTATTTTACCATTATTATCAAACTACCAGTTTCATAGGAAGGCAAACAGTAAATCTCAGCAGGTTAACTTTGACCAATGAAATAGGCTACCAAACACTACTCATTAACACAATTATCACGCAACCTATATGATCCCTTGTAATGCAAAATAGGGGAAGCAAGAATCTTTAAGGTTTTTATTCTTAAAGCAACAAATTAAATGGCAACCATATCAGCTCAAAGTATTGTATATGGCAGATCAATCAACATGGCCGTTCACTCCAGTAACATGCCACTTGGCTATATTGGCAAAATTGAATAGCCTACAGGAATATCATTCCTCCTGAATCACAAGACTACGTTTCTTATGAAGTATTTGGTCACAAGTATACTAACTAGTCCAACTGAATTAATCTCATCCTATTACTCTACATTTGTGAACACAAACTCAAAGAATAATTTCCACATTATTTGGGATTACAGGCCGTGTTGGCTTCCAATCATTTTAATTGGAGGTCCAAACTTTGAGTTTAAATAACTGTTAGAATTCATGATAGAAGTAATAATCATTGCGTTTGAGATATAAATAAGTTCAATTGTACTTTGTTCTCCCAGTAAATAAAATAGTGAAAATTGAAGGACAAAAATCCTAGAAAGACAAATACTTTCACAAAATTAAAAGGAAAATCCACCAAAACCTAAGCAATAGGAATAGCAATATAGAAATTAACACAGAACTTAAACCCAAAAGAGTTAAAGGAGGGATGGAAAAAACCTCGGGAAGCGCTAATGAGAGAGAGATAAGCTTGTTCAAGCTCAGGCACGTGACGAGCATCATGTTGAGCAATACAAGTCTTAAGTCTTTTATAACACTCGTACACGCTTCGAATCTCATCTTTGTTTCTCCGCCTTGCCTGAATTTCATCTTGAGAGAGCGGTGGCGGTGTTTGTGGAGGAACCACGCAGCTTTCTGCCTCGGCGACGGTTTGTGGTGGTTCTGGTGGCAGGTTGTACAATTTTCGCTTCTTTAGGGGCTGCTCCGCCGATGTCATGGCTGAGAACTGTCTCGCATTTCGGTGTAGAGTGAGAGACCAAATGAGTTTTTATTTTTACGAAATTACGCACATACCCCTATGTGGCAAACTGATGGCATTTATTCATTTTGTACCGTCGATTTCTATACAAAGTTTTAACATCTAATTTTTGTTTTTTTAATGACTGAGTTAGTAGTTGAGCTTATGAATATCTCAATTAATCCCTCGATTAATTTCTCGGGATCTTAGAATTAGTGATTAGATATGAACTCTAATGATTACTTTTATTAGCAATCATGGAGATTTGAACTCACGAGATCATATTAAATTCTTCTTTTGCTATTTTATCTTCAAAGGAACTCAAACTTATGAGACTATATTTAAATCCTCCTCTTGCTCATGTTAGATCCTCCTCTTACTCGTTTACCCTCTGAGAGATTATGTTAGATCCTCCTTTGTTCTTTTACTATCAACGAAACTCAAATTTTAGAGACTATATTAGATTTTCCTTTGCTCTTTTACTATCACGTTATCAGGTGGTAGTTTAAAATCTAATTTTACTTAATACATAGTAATAGGATTTAATTATGTTAGAGTATCTCCAAATTACTCTTTATATGATCTAAATTCTTTATTATAAAGAGTTTATCCATAAAAATAAGTGTCTAACAGACTCTTCATTATTTAAATATAAATTAAAGAGTGAGTTTGACTTTCCACATCTAGGGAGTTAAATTTCTCTCTCTATCATAATTTTAATTAATAAACTACAAGTTTCTATGCATTTTATCTATTAATTTTCTCTCTTGTTAAGTCTTTTTCTTGAAAATAAAGAATATCTTCATTAAATTTAAAGAGTCCAATGGATTTGAATCAAGATTTTATTCTTTATATTTAGAAATTAATGAAGATGCTCTTTATTTACATGAAAAATATTTTTTAAAATAAAAAACACCATTAGAGCATCTTCAAATGACTTTTTATATGATTCAAACTCTTTATTATAAAGAGTCTATCCATAAAAACAAGAGTCTAACAAATTTTAAATATAAATTAAAAAGTGAGTTTGACTCTTCACATATAGAGAATCAAATTTCATTCTTTATAATAATTTTAATTAATAAAATACAAATTTCTATATATTTTATTTATTAATTCTCGCTCTTATTAAGTCTTTTTCTTAAAAATAAAAAGTATTTTCATTAAATTTAAAGAGTTCATTGGATTTAAATAAAAAAATTGTTCTTTATATTTAAAAATCAATGAAGATATTCTTTAAAATAAAGAACACCATTAGAGATGCTTTAATCGACTCTTAGAACATCTCCAAAAGACTCTTTAAATGACCTAAATTATTTATTATAAAGAGTCTATCCATAAAAACAAGAATCCAACATACTTTTTATCTTTAAAATATAAATTAAAGAATGAGTTTAAAGAGACATCTAGAGAGTCAAATTTCTCTCTCTATCCTAATTTTAATTAATAAACTACAACTTTTTATGCATTTTATTTATTATTTCTCTCTCCCATTAAGTCTATTTCTTGAAAATAAAGAGCATCTTCATTAAATTTAAAGAGTCTATTGGATTTGAATAAAAATTGTGATTTTTATATTTAAAAATTAATGAAGACGTTCTTTATTTATAAGAAATATACTCTTCAAAATAAAGAGCACTATTGGACCTTTATTTGGCTCTCTACATTTAGACAGTCAAATTTCAGTCCCTATTATAATTTTAATTAATAATTACATGTTTCTATATAATTTATTTATTAATTCTCCCTCCTATTAAGTCTCTTTCTTGAAAATAAAAAGCATATTTATTAAATTTAAAGAGTTTATTGGATTTGAATAAAAACTTTATTCTTTATATTTAAAAATTAAGGAATACAAAATTTATGCTTTATATTTAAAAATCAACAAAAGACGATCTCCATTTATATGAAAATAAATTTTAGGTGTACAAAAAGTCTTTTTACCTAGTGCCACATCACCTGTGCTCTCTTCAGTCTTTTCTCTTTCTTTTCCTTCTCTTTTCCTCTGCCCTCAATCTTCTCTTCATTTTGCAGATTTTTTTTTTTTTTTTGGGCCTTTATCATTGATTTTTAAAAAATTTTTCTCACCATTCTCATCTCCTGTATCTTCTTTCTCTCCCGTCTTTTCTTCCTCATCTTCTATTTCTTTTTCCTTTTTTTTTACTTATATTTTCTCATTGAAAATTCTCTCTCTACATTTTTCCTACATTATGCTTCACATTTTCTCGAAAAAATTCCATCTCTAAACAAACAATATAATGCTAATAAGCAAGTTTGTTCATAACCAAATTCAAACTCTTTAATCTTCGAAATACATCCCCCAGAAACCCAAGAATAGTACTTGAAACATTAGCAAAGTTTGCCGAAAACTTATGCAAAGTCGTTGCATTTGTTAAACCCACAGGAATCTCTCAAGACTCAAAGGAATTATAATCAAGGTTTACACTTTGCAAAGAAGTTGACCCAAAAAAGAAATCCGGGGAAAATATGAAAAATTGTTGTTATTAAAAAGCACTTCTTGAAGAGAAATCAACCCAGCAAGAGTTGGGATAAGCCCACTCTGTTCGTTCTTCATCACCTCAAGTATAGTAAGTGAAGTTAAGTTCTTAAGAAGCGGTGGGAGAGTTCCTTTCAAGCCTAGTGAACCGATTTGGATCTTGGTGATCTGATTCTCTCTTCCATCTCTAACTCTGCTTTTCTACATTCTTCGTTTAGAGATGGAATTTTTTGAGAAAATGTGAATCAAAATGTAGAAAAAAATTTAGAGAGGGAATTTTTCATGAGAAAATATAAGGGAAAATAGAAAAAGGGAAAAAGGAAAAGGAAATAGAAGGAGAGGAAGAAGAGACGGAAGAGAAAGGAGAAAGAAGAGAGAAGAGAAAAGAGTGGAGAGAAATTTTTTTAGAAAATCAATGATAAAGGAAAAAAAAAATATTAGGTTTTTATTTTATTATATCTGCAAAACCGAGAGAAGATTGAGGAAGAAGAAGAAGCGAAGGAAAAGAAAGAGAAAATACTAAAGAGAGAGGGCACGTGATGTGAAAACTGATGATGTAGTAACTGTCACATCTTGGTACCCATATGAAAAATACTTTTCAAAATAAAGAGGGCAAATGATGCTCTTACACCGTAACTTTACTCCAATCTTGTATTCCTACAATTATGTATATAATATTAGGTGTTCAAATTTTTTTATCTTCCATCGGATGATGTGAGTATGTGACATTGATTATCGTATGATTCATATCACTAAATAAAAGTAACAATACAATCATAAGAAGCATATAATTACATCCCTATAATTACATCATTTCTCAACAAATACTATCATTAGGTACCATTTATACATTGATATTACTTGACAACCAAACGTGGTAATCAAGTAATATAAGATGACATTACCCTAGTAATGTCACTTAACCCCGAACCAAACTGACCCATAGTAATAGGATTTAATTATGTTAGACTATCTCCAAATGACTCTTTATATGATCTAAATTCTTTATTATAAAGAGTTTATCCAAAAAAAACAAGTGTCCAACAGACTCTTCATTCTTTAAATATAAATTAAAGAGTGAGTTTGACTTTCCACATCTAGAGAGTCAAATTTCTCTCTTTATCCTAATTTTAATTAATAAACTACAAGTTTCTATGCATTTTATCTATTAATTTTCTCTCTTATTAAGTTTTTTTCTTGAAAATAAAGAGCATCTTCATTAAATTTAAAGAGTCCATTGGATTTGAATCAAGATTTTGTTTTTTATATTTAGAAATTAATGAAGATACTCTTTATTTATATGAAAGATGTTTTTTAAAATAAAAAACACAATTAGAGCATCTTCAAATGACTTTTTATATGACTCAAACTCTTTATTATAAAGAGTCTATCCATAAAACTAGGGCTGTTCAAAAAAATCCGATATCCAATATCCGATCCTGATCCGCTCCGCTCCGATTCGAAAAAATCAGATATCCAAAAATTCAGATCAGATACGGATCGTATTTTAAAACAATCCGAATATTCGGATCAGATATCGGATCAGGATTGTTAAAAAATCAAATATCCGTATCCGATCCGGATTGTACTAAAAGTCTAAAACTACGTCGTTTTGCTTTTAAAATAACCCTAACACAATTAAACTCAACTCTCTCACTCTCAATCTCTCTCGCTCGAACACGCACAAGCATAGACACAGTCACACAAAGTCTCAAACTCAACTCTCTCAGACTCAGATCTCAGTCTCTCTCGCTCAACTCTGTCAGTCTCTCTCACTCGAAGTCGAACACTCACAGACACAGTCACTCAAACTCAACTCTCTCAGATCTCAGTCTCTCTCGCTCGACACTCGACAAGCACTCAAACTCAACTCTCTCAGTCTCTCTCGCTCTGTCGCTCAACTCTCTCAGTCTCTCTCGCTCGACACTCGACAGACGAGTAAAAAACTCACGACTCAACCTCTCCTAAATCCCTAATTGAAGCCCCAAATCGATCGTAAGTAAATTTCTTTAGATTTGCTGAATTTTCTTTTTCCCTTTTGAAATTGTAGTGTTTTCTATTATAAATTGTTGAATTTTAGAGGTTGCTAACATAATGTGTGTAATAGATTTTTTCCCCAAATATAATTTAATTATATATGTTGGATAATGAATGTTGCTATGTTAAATTATTGATGTTTGGTTCGTCACCATTTTATTTGATGTTGTATGGTGTAATGAGTTGATTGTTGAAGTGGAAAAATCCAACCAATTGGTGGGATTGGTTTGTTGGATTGGTTTGTTTGATTAGAAAAATAGAAGTGTTTTCCTTTATGAATATGAATTTGTTGGTTGTACACTTGTTGTTTTGGATTCATTAATATTGGTTGGGCATTTTGGAGGTTGCTAACATAATGTTGTCTTTATATATTAATAGGTTGAATTAAATTTTAGGGATGAATGATAAAAGAAGCATAAATTCTAGACTTATTGTTTGTAAATTGTAGGTTGGAAGCTTAATGAATTGAAAAACTATAACAAGAGACGGGTCGGTTTATTTATCATTTATTTGTTCATATCATTCTTTTATGCTCTGAATATGTTGACTAATCTTAATTATTGATGAAATTAGGCTGAAGGCCCCAAGGCAGATGATGAAAAGGAGTCTGAGAAGTCAATGTCAGAGGTCAACGATGAGGAGGGCAGTGGTGAGGTATAATTTATATGCAATTAATTTTGTTGTTAATCTTAAAAGTTGTTTATTGAAATGGTTTATTTGTTTTGTTTTGTACAGGAGGATGACGACAAGTAGGAATTGGCAATGAAGATAGCATAGTCATTTAAGTTGTGACAATGTTTGGACAACATATGTTAAATGTTTTGTGCTTTCATGTTAATTTTTTTTATATACTTTTATCATGTAAGGATGAAGATAACATAGTCATTTAGGCTGTGACATGTTTGGACAACATATGTTAAATGTTTTGTGCTTCATGTTAATTTTTTTAGATACTTTTATCATGTAAAGGAATTATAATTTCAATTTAATTGCTAGAATTATTTGATTTTATTAAGAAAATTTTAAGATTCAGATTAATTTCGGATATCCAATTATCTGATCCGAATAATCGGATATCCGTAAAACCGGATATCCACTTAATTCGAATCGGATTCAGATCTGGATACAGCCTGATCCGAAAACTCGGATCGGATATCCAGATTTGAACAGCCCTAATAAAAACAAGAGTCTAACAAATTTTAAGTATAAATTAAAGAGTGAGTTTGACTCTTCACGTCTAGAGAATTAAATTTCACTCTCTATCATAATTTTAATTAATAAAATACAAGTTTCTATACATTTTATTTATTAATTCTCTCTCCTATTAAGTATTTTTCTTAAAAATAAAAAGTATTTTCATTAAATTTAAAGAGTCCATTAGACTTAAATAAAAAAATTGTTATTTATATTTAAAAATTAATGAAGATGCTCTTTAAAATAAAGAGCACCATTGGAGATGCTTTAATCGACTCTTAGAGCATCTCCAAATGATTCTTTATATGACATAAATTCTTTATTATAAAGAGTCTATCCATAAAAACAAGAGTCCAACAGACTCTTTATCTTTAAAATATAAATTAAAAAGTGAGTTTGACTCTCCACATATAGGGAGTCAAATTTCTCTCTCTATCCTAATTTTAATTAATAAACTACAACTTTTTATGCATTTTATTTATTATTTCTCTCTCCCATTAAGTCTATTTTTTGAAAATAAAGAGCATCTTCATTAAATTTAAAGAGTCAATTGGATTTAAATAAAAATTTTGTTCTTTATATTTAAAAATTAATGAAGATTCTCTTTATTTATAAGAAAGATACTCTTCAAAATAAAGAGCACCATTGGACCTTTATTTGGCTCTTTATATCTAGACAGTCCAATTTCACTCCCTATTATAATTTTAATTAAAAACTACACGTTTCTATATATTTTATTTACTAATTCTCTCTCCTATTAAGTCTTTTTCTTGAAAATAAAGAGCATATTTATTAAATTTGAAGAGTTCATTGGATTTGAGTAAAAAATTTGTTTTTTATATTTAAAAATCAATGAAGTTGCTCTCCGTTTATATAAAAATAATTTATAGATGTACAAAGAGTCTTTTTACCTAGTGATGTGGCAACTGCCACATCACCAGTTTCCACATCACCTGTACTCTCTCTTCAGTCTTTTCTCTTTCTTTTTCCTCTGCCCTCAATCTTCTCTTCGTTTTGCAGATTTTTTTTTTATTTTTTAAAAAACATATTTTTTATTTCTTTTTCCTTTATCATTGATTTTTTAAAAAAATTCTCACCATTCTCATCTCCTGTATCTTCTTTCTCTCCCGTCTTTTATTTCTTTTTGCTTTTTTTTTTTAACTTATATTTTCTCATTGAAAATTCTCTCTCTAAATTTTTCCTACATTATGGTTCGCATTTTCTCGAAAAAATTCCATCTCTAATCAAACAATATAATGCTAGTAAGCAAGCTTGTTCATAACCAAATTCAAACTCTTTAATCTTCGAAATACATCCCCCAGAAACCCAAGAATAGTACTTGAAACATTAGCAAAGTTTGCTAAAAACTTATGCAAAGTTGTTGCATTTGTTAAACCCACAGGAATCTCTCAAGACTCAAAGGAATTATAATCAAGGCTTACACTTTGCAAAGAAGTTGACCCAGAAAAGAAATCTGGGGGAAATATGAAAAATTGTTGTTATTAAAAAGCACTTCTTGAAGAGAAATCAACCCAGCAAGAGTTGGGATAGGCCCACTCTGTTTGTTCTTCATCACCTCAAGTGTAGTCAGTGAAGTTAAGTTCTTAAGAAGCGGTGGGAGAGTTCCTTTCAGGCCTAGTGAACCGATTTGGATCTTGGTGATCTGATTCTCTCTTCCATCTCTAACTCTGCTTTTCTACATTCTTCGATTAGAGATGGAATTTTCTGAGAAAATGTAATCAGAATGTAGAAAAAAATTTAGAGAGGGAATTTTTCATGAGAAAATATAAGGGAAAATAAAAAAAGGGAAAAAGGAAAAAGAAATAGAAGGAGAGGAAGAAGAGACGGGAGAGAAAGAAGAGAGAAGAGAAAAGAGTGGAGAGAAAAAAATTTAGAAAATCAATGATAAAGGAAAAAGAAAAATAATAGGTTTTTATTTTAGTATATCTGCAAAGCGGAGAGAAGATTGAGGAAGAAGAAGAAGCGAAGGAAAAGAAAGAGAAAATACTAAAGAGAGAGGGCACGTGATGTGAAAACTGGTGATGTGGCAACTGCCACATCTTGATACCTATATGAAAAATAATTTTTAAAATAAAGAGGGCAGATGATGCTCTTACACCGTAACTTTACTCCAATCCTTTATTCCTACAATTATGTATATAATATTAGGTGTTCAAATTTTTTATCTTCCATGGGATGATGTGAGTATGTGGCATTGATTATCATATGATTCATATCACTAAATAAAAGTAACAATACAATCATAAGAAGCATATAATTACATCCCTATAATTACATCATTTCTCAAAAAATACTATCACTAGGTACCATTATATATATATATATATTCCTCACAAAATTTATGTAATTTATGTAACGACATCCTTACTAAAGAATTAATGTATTAATAATATTACGCATCTCAAATAATATCTTAAAATTCACATCCCAAATAACGTGTCATCTTATTTGACATTACCATATCATTTATAAAATCACACCTTAAAATTAATTTTGGGATATATATATTATTTTATTTTTTATTGCCCATAGTGCTAAGATTAAGATTAAGAACAGGTAGCGAGTATTCCATAAATGGTGACATGTATGGATTTGGGCCGATTAATTGGTGTACAATATTTACAAATGCAAGAAACATATCAGACGCCATTGCAGAAACAAGGAAGGTTCCTCATAATAATAACAATAAAAAAAAAAAATTATATATATTTCATTCGGGGCGTCTTAATGCAAGTTAGCTGATACATATATTATATATTTTTAAATTTGTTTGAATAAAAATAACATTACAAAAGATTCAGCAACTCCATCCAATATCATAGGAGGGGAGAAATCCTCTGGTTGAGACAGATATCGAATCCGTTGTAAGCAAGGGGAGCATACATCCACATATCATCAGAGCTTAGAAGCTACAATGACCAAAACAGAACAAAAGTTAGACATTAAGATTAAACAAGAATCTTAAAACACACACACACACACACACACACACACACACACATATATATATTTGGAGTTTATTGATCCCCTTGTTCCCCTACCTTGATCTGGAACTGCAGAAACTTAACATAATGGACTGCCTCTTCAAGCATTGTGCTAATATCAACCTTTGTGCCGTTAGGGACAAGATTCTGCAATATCTTCAATCGCTCGTTTATTCTCTCTCTTCTTTTCTGCAAAATTTAATGGAAAGGATTCAATAAAACTAAGCCACATAATTAATCAAGCAAGTTGGAAATGTGGTAGGTAGGAGAAGATAGTTACCCTTGCATAGAGGCTCTGGGGATCAGTTGCTGTTCCTCTACTGGCCCTTGCCTTTCCATTCAAGTTGAGAGCTAGAGATGCTTTAGACTCTGATGTTTCTCCTCCATTAGTCTCCTGAGAACCATTATCATCCTCTGAGCTGTAGCTGGTGGAGCTTTGACCATCTGATCCACCGTTGCTCTCTTCTCCATCATTGCCTTTTGGACTCAGATTCTGGCTCTTCTTTGACTGTACATTCTTCTTAGTTTTTTGTACCTGCGTTTATAAATAGTAACCCAACATTATTATAAACTTTGAAACAAAAGAATCACCCGCTTGCATATACATAGTTTCAAATTTATAGTACTTACATCTCTTGAAACACGAGGTTTTTTCTTCATGTTCTCAGATACATTAACATTGATTTTTTCTTCTCCTCCTGTTTGGAATGCTGGAACATCGAACTTCCTTTTAAGCTGCAATTCTGTGGCAGGAACAACAACATCTGCGTGTTGGCCATTGTCTGAATTTCCCAATTTGTCCCCATTCATATCTTCATTGATAGAGACATTTTCCATTACAATATCAGAACATGCAGCCGGGGCATGCCAGTCAACTTTATTCTCATCTATGGACATTGATGCATCATTTGTCATTGGGATATGGTTAGAATCACAAAAGAAATAACTTGTTTCAAGTGTCGGGGTGGGAATGAACACACTACTGCTACAATTGCTACCATAACTACTATCTTGAGAAAGATTGCTCAGATTAGAATTAAGAGTATTTGGAGAATAAAACAAATGACTCTCATTGGCCCCGACCATGCTTGCATCGGCTTCAGAAGTGGGGCAAAAGGCCGAAGGGGTTATAAAATGTAACCCCTCATCATGCTGGACAGGAAATGTACACTGACCAAAAAATTGTGGATGGAGGAAATCAAACTCTTCACTGGAGAACATTTTGCCAAGGGATTCCCATTCTCCATCAGCAAAAACTCCAAGCGGCTCCATCCTTCTTGTTAACTTAAAAGAGTTAGAAGCCTGTGTGGAGAAATAGAGTAGTCTTCTATTTCTGTAGTGCAACTGCTAATTGAAGCTTAATTGCACTTGAGACAAACAATAACTGCAAGACATATATATAATCAACCCCTGAAGAGAATGTTAGTAAGGATTGACTTACATTATTTAATTGAATTGTTTATAGCTAATGATTAACTGGTGTAGGTCCCAATTCTTTGTAACTAAGCTTAGGAGTCCAATGTGGGGACAATACCAGGCAAAGTACAACTCAGAAGGGCCAAGTTCATGCACAGATAAATTAAAATACCTCAGTTTTTTTCAATGGCCTTCAAACATCTGATTAGAAATTAGAATGGCTAAAAGTACATTTAAAATGATAAAAGGGGTCTAACAACAATCATTAAGAGGTAACTAACTGAATTAATTAATTAAATTTCTAAATAGAGGAAGAGAGGTATTAGAATGAGAGGATGCGTAGAGAAGGTATTTGTGTGTGCAACTGTGCGTCTTTGAAATCGTCAGAACGTGGGGAGTGTTCTTGAATAAAATAAACCGACGGAATTCTGTTGGCAAAATAAAAAATGAATAAAACCCAAGGCAAAAGGACGGCCACATCGTGGGAGATGAGTCAGATGGCTCTTGACATTATTTAAAGTAAAATAAAGTATCCGACACAGTGACCGCCAAACTCGTTCCTTGTCCTAGATGGCAGAAACCTAACAAGTGTTTCTATGCTTCAAATCTTACTGTTTCATCTACCTCCAGGCCCCAACTTAATTACAAACCATTTTCAACTTACTGATTAATTGAAGTCGAACACTGTACATTATGTCTTCCTTCCATGTACTGACTTGTTCTCAAATCATCTCCAAACAGTAGTACTGCACTTAGAGAAAAATTAAGAAGCAGCAAATTGACATGATGATTGAATCTTCTTGTGTGACTAATTCTTTTGACAGCTACTTCTTTTGTGGACATATGACGTAATGTAAGTACTAGAAAATCACATTGACTTTTTAATCTAAGCATTAATACAGGCATGTAAATATCTACCAAAATCAACAGTAGTCTGAGGAATGAATTCGATACATGTTGAATTTATTTCTTTGTACAATTTTTTTTAACCCCGTTATAGATTTCAATGCAAAGAATTTCCCCAGAACAGCACATGCTAAAATTCTTGAGATGGTATTAAAAAGAAAGAGCAATCTTTATTTGGATTTGATAACAGCTAACTTTGCCAATAAACTGAAACTGGTACCAAATTATTAAAGAAACTAAGATTCCAAAAATGTTGCTCATTAAACCATCAATATCTATTACAAAACTGATCCCAGCTGTAGTGTCTTATTTAAAGAATATTTTGTAACCCTAAAATTCACAGTATTCCGATAGATTACCTGAACAAAGCCATAAAATACATGTATAAAGATAACTGTCCTTCTGGGCTTGGCTCCTTAGATTCCGCCGATCCGCCCGCTTCAATTCCACGCGTTGAATAGAGACACTTATTCAATTTTTAATTTTGTCTTGTTAAGAGAGAGTTCGATAAGGTGTTTGTTATAGCATTAGTGTTCATTAGGAAACTGCACCGGCCATTGCACGACTTTAATAGCCAAGAAATGAAACAAGAAAGATAACAAAACGCTACTGGAATAAAAATCTAGAAAGAGTAAACATTGTTGAGCTCAAAATCTGATTTTATTCTCTGGTTAATTCTCTCGCCGGCTCCTTTGCACGAACTGTGTTTAGAATTAGGGTTTTGTCTCCAACAACAACCTCATCACCTTGCACACCCTTATCCGCATTAACAAAAACCTGAAATAAAATGACAGCTATTTTTGTCTCAGCCACCAACGTTAACGTGTCATTCTCATACCTATTCATCCGCCTTTTTCATTTATTCTTACCTCATTTATTATATCATGTTTAAACTTGATTAATTAATCAAAGGAACTATGTTCAACCAATTATATTAATCTGAATGTACTAACTTGAATTAATATAGAAGGGTCTCCAAAGACTCACTTCCAATTATAATCTGACAGTTAATTAATTTAATTTAATTATTGTTTTCTTTGTACCTAAACATTCCAATTCCAAGACTTCGGCAAACTAATTGATAAAATTAGTAGTTAATGGTTTCTCGCATTGAAAAAATAATAATGCATGGGGCAAGGGTAAGCGCTTAGACTTGCCATTGCATATTGTCTTCCTGTTCGCGACCATTGAGCATCAGCAAAAGCTTAAATGGAAGTTGGCATGTCCTTATCAACTAATTATACTTTAATCCTCTTCCTTCACCAAGAACTAGCCACGCGTTCCATTGGTCCAACCTTCATCTCTTATTTTGTGTATATTATAAACTTGGTCGCTTAATTAATGTAAACTCGTTTAATTTGCATGTGTTCCGTTATACACTAAATAAAAATTTTGTTAATTTCTAATTGGGCTCTTGGAGGCTACGTATATCCTTACCTTGATTATAACGTAATTAAGTTATGTCAGTATCAATTATTAGAACAACAACTGTTATAATCATTGATGAATAGAATTTAATATTATGGATAAATGTATTGTGAATATATGATTAACACTTTTGTTAAACTAATTACTTTACTAGTAGAAAAAATATATATATCTCATTATGTTACATTTTCATATCAATATGCCAATATTTTAAATCCAGACGTGGAGTAAAGCTGAAACAAACAAGTGTTACAAATATATAGTAGGTATTTTAGGTCAAAGGTAATTAACTATCCAATAAATTTCACTCTTGTTTGATTTCCATCTGTGATTAGCCAGTTGGTGACATGAATAGTTATTTAAAACAATTAATTATACCGACCTTAATTAATAGAATATTAAGGGATAAAAATGCTCTTAATTATTGCTCATTAACATTGGAAGAGAGGATAAGCTTATTAGATGAGAGGTTATTAATTTATGTGTTGCATGTAACAACCAGAATATGAAGTCAATCTCCAGCTTGTTTTATATTTATGTACGCGTATAATTGTGTACGGGATATTGATATAATAATGAATTGTCAAACAGTTTTTTAAGTATAATACTTTAAATAGACCACTCAACTTAAGCATTTAAATACAATAAAAAACACTATGAACAAACCATATTTTTATTCAAATAATGATAATTTTATTTTTGAAGTTGACTAAGTAGTGTGCGAATTATTCCAGTTTATATAAAAAAATGATGGTGGTTTCTCCAAGCTCTTTATAATATATATACATATAATTCTTATGCAAATTATAATATGTGAAAGGGATAAATTTATTTATTTATATATTCAGCTTCAAGTTCGGGGGTTTGTGTATGTAAAAACAAAACCATCTTACCAAGAACATATGTTGAAGAAGAGGGAAGGTAACACACCCTCATCTCTTTGGGGCGTTTGGATCGGGTTGATATTATATTACGGTGATAATATATTTTAAATTGGGTAAATAACCATATTTGGTTGTTTTGCAAAAAAACATTTATGGAAAAAAAAATGTCAAACAATGTCAAATTGGGGGTAAATCATCAGGAATAATATTACCTGGGGGGAGGGTGTTATTAAAATATTACTCCGGTAATCCAACTTTCTGTCCAATTTTGCCCCAAAATAGTGGATAATGTGGACGAAAATATCCTTGGCTTTGTTAATAATTACAAAACACCTAATTTTTTGGACAAAATTGCCTTGCTTATTATCAATATTTTCAGAAATGCCACAAAAATGCCCATATTATACTCACATATTTGCATATTGTGACCAATATGCCCTTTTATTTCACTAAAACTATAATATAAGAAGAAAAAAATTCTCAGCCCTAATACACATTTCGATTGAGACTCTGCCCTAAACCTCTATCGCCGCCGTTGGTCTTCTTCTTCTTGATCTCGTCCTAACTTCATTACTCCGATCCCCATTTTCCGGAAAGTCAAATACCCTCTTTCCATTGTATTTTTCATTTTGGGTTTGTTTTACGTTCGTTAGTCTAAGATCTCGCTCTTGCCTCTGCCGTTGGTCAACCATCTTCGCCGCAGCGCCTTGGGTCTTCATCTCCATCTGTTTGATCCGGACAACACTCCATTCGCCATTTCCGATAAGCCCCTCGCCCTCTTTCCATTGTATTTTTCGTTTTCTGTTTTGTTTGCGTTTGTTAGTCTAACTTCTCCCTCTTCCCTCTGTCGTTGGTCGACCATCTCCGTCGCAACAACCTCGGGTCTTCGTCTCCATTTGTTTGCTCCTGGCAATGACTTAACAATAAAATAATTGGCTAAAATGTAAGGAAAAAAAATTTGTTAATTGATCATTTCTTTTATTAACCAAACACATTAATTATTTATACCCACTAATCTTCTAAAGGGCATTTTAGTAAAATATAATCAATATATTTACTCTTACAGCCAACCCAACAGATTAATTAGTAATACAAGTAATCATCCTAAGGGCATTCTCGTAAAAGGGTATTTCAGGACATCTGTTATTATTGTCAACCAAACACATTAATTATTAGTACATCCCAATTGAATCAAGCACAATAATAATTTAAACCCGGTAATCTACAATATAATCTTTCTTTCCAATAATCTTATTACTAAGATAAAAAAATATTATATGATCCAAATGATAATTCTACTTGAAATATCATTTCGATTTTGCAATTTAAAGTATCACACGAGTGTTAATCTTGTTCTTAATAACACTCGACCTCTCCAGCTCTCCTCCTGTACGTTGTATATGTTTTGAATATTGTTAACCATGGACGTGGTAAAATAATTATATAATGTTTGAATATTGATAACTATTTATAATATGAATTGAATCCATAATGTCAAACTATTAACATTAATAACTATTCCTGTTATGAATTGAATTTCATAATGTCAAACACATTAATCTTTAATTATTAGACCATCCCATTTAATTAAGTCAGAAAGATTTATCAACTCTTACCATTTATGATAATACGTAATCA